CTGTGAAAGGGTCGTTTGACCCCCAAAGGGGTCACGACCCACAGGTTGAGAACCGCTTTAAGCATGTAATAACGTTACTTGGTGTTTTAAAGGGTACGCAAATTTATCCCTCAAGCCTTTGCAGTTCTTCAGAATTTCCTCATGGCTTTAGCAATATTTCCAACTGCTCACTAGGCATTCTTCTGGGCTCACCTATGATAATGAATCCTCTTTTAACATACTACAATCTCAATATGTTAAAAAGGGATTCATTATTTTTTCCAACAAATCAAATTATTTACAGCAGCTTTTCCAGTCTCTAAAAACTAGAAAACCTTGGAGTCATCTTTAACTTGTGTCTTAAATGTTTTTTTCTATTCAGAGTTATTGAATGCTGTTGAGTCTCCATGCAGATTTCTTCGTGACACGTCCCTTCTCCATTTTTGTATTGCCTTTTCTCTCATCGAGGCTGTTACTGTGCCAGGCCTGTTCCAGCAGTCTCTACTTCCTGCTTCTCACCTCTTGCCCCTTCACTCTTATTTTCCATATGGCTGCCAGATTTATACTTTTTCAAAAATGCTTCTTTCTTTCCATTGCACTTGTCTCCTGAACTTCTAATACCTAATCACCTAGAGAGGACATCTAAATTGTTCAGTTTGACCTTCTATGCTCTTATCTCACATTCCACAGTACAAACAGTTTTCAGCTAGACTGGTCTTCTGCCAGTGGATATATCCTGCCACCAAGTGTTATGCGCTTACTGTTAATGCTCTTACTATTTGATACTCTTTATCCCTCCTTTTGTCCTAAGTCTTTAAAAAGAACACCAGAGACCACCTAGGTCTGAATTTTGTACCTAATCTTATAGTTTCTGGCAGGATGGCCATGACTTTAGTGCCTAGGGCTTGTGTGTTCTGCTCTAGCAGAGTTTCTCTACTGTTTATAATTCCTATTCATCATCCTCTTTTTTTGTACCGCTCTCTTTTTAGTGCCATATATTGTGCCTTGTTTGTTTATTGTATATTTGTTGTCATTATACCTAGCGTGTTATTTTTTGAAGGCGCTTAATATCTTGTGTATTTAAATACTTCAGTGGAGTTTAATTTGAACTTCAAGGTCTCAGAGAAATTATTTAAACATTGCCCTCCCACCATGTGCCTTAGGAAGACGAAGATGATATAGTATCAGTTCAGTTATATGGCTCATTTTCTAGATGACAAGTTAACTCTTTAAGCACGTAAATTTAATACTTCCACTTAACCATTTATTACTGCCCCTCTTTGGCAAGCACAGGATACTGATTATTTAATCTTGTTTTTTGATGACTTACTCATATTTTTGAGACTTGCTCACTTTTATAATCCTAGTTCTCAGAAAAGTTCCCAACACATGGTAGACACACATGTTGGGATTTCTGATTAAAATGTCACGGTTATGATTTGTTACCATGTCATACAGTCTATGGGAGTTTAACTTTCTTGGAGCTTTTTTTTTTTTTTGCCAGTCTGTAATTATTTGCCTCTTATAAAAGTACAGAATCTGTAGCTTCATGATAGACTATGGTCTAATTTTTTAATGAAAAAGTGAGACCATTTATATATATATATATATATATATATATATGTATATATATATATATATATACATATATATGTATATGTATATATATATATACATTCATCAAGGTGTATAGTTATGATTACTAACTTTACTGTATATAAATAAAACTCAATAAAAAAATAAAATCATCAGAGTGCCACTCCGCAGCTTTCTCACCCTTACTACAATCTTTGTTTTTATTGTCTCCATTGCCTTTTTGTCCTATGGGTGGCAGAGATGTGCTGGGCTAGTTAGCTGAGGGATTTGAGTGGGAGAAGGAGCCAAGTTGATAAGGTGATGGTGTGAGAAAAGCCCTCATTAGCCTGGGTTCTGAGTCCTGTGCTTTTCTAAAAGAAAGCCAGCAGTCTGAAGACCTAAGTGGTCCTCAAGGGAGGGGCAAGTAATTACTCTGGCCTCAGGCAAACAGGGACAGATGTCCATTTAGTCAGTTCAGCTGTAAGGCAAGCAGCCCAATCAGTTACCTTAGGGCAGGGCTCTTTGCCTTCCGGTCCTCTTATACCTCTAACCTGGGTAGGAAGGGCGTTAGAGCCTAGTCTGTGAGTTAAGGAAACGAGAGAGAACAGCCACAGGTCTGATCATTTCATTCTCTTGTTTTAGCAATGGTAACTGCAGTATTCAAAGTAGTCTCTAGAGTGCCTTCTGGTGGCAACTGCCCAGGGTTTCAGCCCCGATGAACACAGCTGTTGGTTAGAATACCCCTTAGTGTTCCCTCCCTGGGGCTGCAGGCCATGGAGCTGAACACCATCAGTTCTCAGCCTTGTTTAGTGTCCTCTTGCCTTTAGATTTGGTCTCCCCAAATCACCTTAAATAAAAGGTCTGCTTCATAATGAGACTGAGTGTCCTTTCCAAACACCTTTAGTCCCTCAGAGGACTGGAACTTCTGACAGCAGTCCTAACTGTTCTTGTTTTACACTAATTCCCAGGGTCAATTTTATAGATTATTCTCAGAAATCATTCCATGTGATTTTAAAAAATCCAAAAGTCAAAAGTGTTTATAGTATCAGTTATGAGTACTGATTACCGTACTGATCAGAAAAGGTTTGTGTCTTCTAGACTAGTGGCTCTTAAAAATTAATGAGAACCCCGAAAGAGGTTTTATGTTTATAGCTGTTTACTGTAGTAGGAATTAAAACAAATTTTTAGACTGTCAATTCATTTAAACATAATAAAGCATTACTTATTTAAATAAATGATCTTAAAAATAACTATAACAAATTAACAAATTATTTTTTATGAAAAACAATATTTTTTCCAAAACAAAAATGTGTAAATCTCTTTAATGATCAACTTTTCAGATAATTGTGGATATTATTCTTTGATACTATACCCAAACTTAACAAATGGTATTTTCTTAAAGAGTAGTTGCAGTGTGGAATCTGAGTATAAAAAGACAAATAACATATTGTTTAAACCATATAGTAGCCCTGTGAAGTCATGAAGCATATTATTATTTCCATTTTATAGATGAAGGGATTGAATCCAGGAAAGTGCCACTTAATAAACTCTCTCAGAGAACTACTTGTGGCTTGGAATTGCCCATTGTGGGCTAGATTTAATTTGGGGGATAGATTAATCATTCACAGGATAAAGGCCCCTTGTTCAAATTACTGTGTGGTTTGTCTGATATATGCTTTTTTTTAAAACTGTACTTTATTTTTATTCTAGACTTATTCTGGACTCTTCTGTGTAGTCATAAATCCTTACAAGAATCTTCCAATTTACTCTGAGAATATTATTGAAATGTACAGAGGGAAGAAACGTCACGAGATGCCTCCACACATCTATGCCATATCTGAATCTGCTTACAGATGCATGCTTCAAGGTAACTGGAAATGTTAGAATGCTCAGTACTCAGAATTTCTTTTTTTTTTTTTTTAATTGGGGAATTGGGAACAGCAGTGGGGAATTGGGGGAAAGGGAACAGACAAGTTGCTGTCGTTTTGTTCTTCAGTCTACTTGTGGAGGACGTTGCTTCACTGGTCCAAGTTGGCACCATCATTGCGCTCTTCCCGGGTGAGGCAGATCAGTCACCGGCTTCTGGACGGCCGCTCACACTGGCTGCTGGCTACACACGGTAGCCCATGGCAACCCACTGCCACAGGGACTGCAGCCCACGCCGCCGCTGTGAAAGGGTCGTTTGACCCCCAAAGGGGTCACGACCCACAGGTTGAGAACCGCTTTAAGCATGTAATAACGTTACTTGGTGTTTTAAAGGGTACGCAAATTTATCCCTCAAGCCTTTGCAGTTCTTCAGANGCATCTTAGCTGTGGAGGGCAGTGTCACTGGCCCTCATATGTGGGATCTGAACCGGGGCCCTCTGGCGTCCCAAGCCAGTTCTTATCCATCGCGCCACTCGGCCGGTCCCTCAGAATTTCTTACATGTAATTAGGTATTTGATTAGATGCTACAATCTTTTCAAAAAAGATTAGACTTTAAAAAATCTTTTTAAAAAGGATTAAAAAGTAATAAAATTTACTGTTGAAAAATTATAAATTCTCAAGATTAGACTGGGCAAGGTGGCCTTTTTTTATAGGAAGCTGGTATGTTTGTTGCTTCATAAATACTTTTTATGTTAAAAAGTATTTTTATGTTAAAAAGGATCTAGTTTTTGTATGTACTTGATCTCCACTACAAGCCAGTATAATCAAAGCTCTGTTGCATTATATTTTAAAACCAACAGGAAGAATAATAGAAAAGGTGGATGCTTTACTGGGGAAAGAAAGATTTGAAAATATTTCCGAAATAAATGCATGTAAAGGAGACAACAAACATTAAAAAGCATGCAGCGAGTTGGTTGATTTTTGTTTTCTTTTGGATTTAGAATGACATATAAATTTGAAGTCATTCATTTGAATCATGGCTTTAGACACAATGGTTGATGGAGGGACATTGGTTTTGAAAACCAGGATGTAGCAGTTTTTAATGCATTTAATGTTGTTCGAAAAGACTACATTACACATGAGACTTCCTTGTGCTATGTGAAGTCTTCTATAATTACTCCATCTCTATCTCCTTTTATTTTTTTTTACAATAAGTTCTGTAAGGTATAATAAAATCTATGCGGTTCTTATAAAATAGTTCCATGATCATCAGAAAACAGGATATGCTGCATCTACCTGTCATCAAATTGCAGCTCATGGGAAAGGCTGTCTTGGTGACTGGGTCTGAGGGTCGTGTGAAGAAATTTAATTACAATACCCATTTCTTCAAGTTTTATTTGGATACTTTCATATACCACGTTCTCTGGGGCAAGTAGGAAGTACTTCAAGATTTGAATAGTGTCCTAGGTTGTCAACGACAGGCTCAGTACCCCAAATCAGCTTAGGCTTAAAAAAAGATTAAATTTAATAACCTTTCTTAGGTTCAAAGCCAAATAATACTAAGAAATGGCTGCACCTGTGATAAATTGCTTCTATAATATGTAATGGAAAGAAGAATTGTCAGTGTCTTTTACTTTTGGTTCTATCTCTGTTAAGAATAATCTTATATGCAGAAAAGCATTTGTGTAAATGAGCAAACTTTGCCTTATGTGGGAAAAGAAACTAGAGAAAGTACACCCCTTCACTAACTGAATCCATATTTCCTCATCTAAACAAATACAGTAATACCTTGGTTTGTGAGCATAATTCATTCCAGAAACAAACTACTTGTATTGCAAGACATCACTCGTTTACCACGTTAAAATGTATTAGAAATGTTTGCTTGTCTTGCGGAACACTCGCAAACCACGTTACTTGCAATTCAAGGTTTTACTGTACATTCTTACAACTGAAATTGTTGACCCTTGGTCTTGGAAGTACTATATAGAAGGGAAGTTTCCAGAAGACTCAATATATAATTCTAATTTTTAAAAGGGAAGAATTTCCAGACTGCTGGGCTTAATACACCTTCCAGGAAAGATTCTAGGATCTATTGTTAACAGTCTAAAACAACATGAAAATATTGACCACATTACTTCAGCTTGGTAGGAATGGAAATACAGTAGATAGTATTGTGTTAACAGAGAATTAGGGCTTTTACATGGCATTTCAGTCTACCATGCGATTCTCATGGCTGTATACGGAAAGGTTGTACTTGAGGTGCTGAGTAATGACTGAGGTTGGCCAGGTTTGACAGGGTGTGCATCAATGGGCTTGGACCCTTTCCAACATCTTTACCAATATACTTAAAGATGTGTGATGCAAACATTTGTAGATGACATGAAACTGGGAGGGAAAGCACATCATTTGATGAAAAAAAAAACAATTTTTAAAATGTCTTGACAGGTTAATTGGGGAATTAGATCATGTTAATGTCTCATTACTGGGTTCCCAAACGAACTATGTGGATACAGAATGAGGAAGATGTGGCTTATTAGTGTATCGTAGTATTATTATTATTATACCATCATTAATGCTAAAATGGACATTTGTTGAATATTACCATGTGACAGGCACTGAGCTAATTGCTTTATATGTGTTATTTAATCCACAACAATCATGTAAAGTAAATAGGATTACTATCGCTACTTTATGGTGGCTCAAAAAGTTAAAATCTTGACCAAGAAAATGTAGATAGTAAGAGGTATGAGCTAGGATTCAAAACCAAGGCAACGTGACACATTCTTATCCACAAAAATAAACTTTTATGTGAAAGTTAAAAAGAATTACAGTAGTTGGTAGCTTTGATTACATAATTTAAAAGTGTGATACATAAAGTGACCCACTCTAAACAGTTCTATTATATTCCATTCTGTAAGCAAAGGGCTACCTGCTGATGTACTTCATATATAACACAATTGGGCAGGGACATCTGCTGGGGTAGGTCAGTAGCACGTGCAGTTGCTGATGAGGTTCATACTACCTTCCAGTGCTGATCAATTTAGGTTTTCAATTACAGATATGAGCAAATAGCTAAATGTAAATGGGCCAATGAAGAGGTTCTACAGCTAGAGAGGGGACCATGCAGAGGATTCAGAGCAGATGGCCCCACTGCACAGAGTTTGCTTGTTTAATGCAAAAACAGAAGAGAGCTTAATTTTTTTCTTAAGTTTGGATTCTAGGGGATATTTATTGTATGAATAAAATGCAGTGTGCCTGGCACATAGTAGTTGCTCAAGAAGTATTCAATGAATGAATGAAAGTTCTTAGATATAAATTTGATTACAAAAATTACAAACTCAGATTTCATTGGAAGTATACCTAAATATAATATATACCTTAATATATAGTTACGCATTTTATGTTTTTAGTTTTAAAAGAAATTTAAAAATTTTAAATTTCCAATTGTTCACTATTAATGTATAGAAATATTCTTTTTAAAAATATACTGTATATTGACATTGTATTTTGCAATCTCACAAAACTCATTCTGGAAGGTTTTTTTTGTAGATTGTTTGGGATTTTCTGTGTCGACAATCATGCCCTCTATAAATAGAGACATTGTTATGTCCTCCTTTTCAATTCTATACTTTTAATTTTTTTTCTTGCCTTGTGATGTTGAATAAGTGTGGTGAGAACAGACATTCTTGCTTTGTTCCTAATCTTAAGAGGGCAACATTCAGTTTTTCACCATTAAGGATTATGTCAACGGAAGGTTTTTTTGTAGATACCCTTTATCAGATTGATGAAATTCCCTGTATTCTTAGTTTGTTGTTGTTGTTGTTTAATCATAAGTGAATATTGAATTTTAGCAAATGCTTTTTCTGCGTCTATTCAGATGATTATATGGTTTTCCGCTTTAGTCTCGATACAGTGAATTAGATTGTTTGCCTTTCGGATGTTGAGCTGACCTTGCATTCTCAGGATAAACACCACTTGCTCACCATGTGTCTGAGCCTTTTTATATGTTGTTGGATTTGATTTGCCAACATTTTGTTAAGAATTTTTTGTGCCGTCTTTTATGAAAGATATTTGTATGTCATTTTCTTTTATAATAATGTCTTCTAATTTTAGTATTAGCGTAAGTCTTGTCTCTTAGAATGAATTGGGAAATGTTTCTTTCTGTTCAATTTTCTGAAGAGTTTATATAGAATTGGTATCATTTTTTTTTTCCCCTTAAATGTTTTGTAGAAATTCACCAGTGAAGCTATGTTTTCTTTTTGGGAAGGTTTTTAATTACAAATTATTATTGTTTAATGAGGTGCAATTGACATAATATCATATTTCACAAATTCAATTTCTTTAATAGAGATAGGGCTTTTCAGGTTATTATTTCTTATTGAGTAAGCTTTAATATTTTGTCTCTCAAGAAATTGTCCCTTTCATCTTAGTTGTCAAATTTTTTGATATAAAGTGGTGCTTAATATTTCCTTATTATCTTTTATCTATGGTATCTGTAGTGGTATTATTTTGGTAAGTAGTGTCTTTTTCTGGATCAGTTTGGCTAGAAGTTTATCAGTTTCATTGATTTTTCTCAAAGAACCAGCATTTTGTTTCATTTATTCCTTCTTTCTGTTTCCTATTTCATTGATTTCAGTTCTTTGCCATTTTCTTCCTTTTACTTATTTTGGGTTTGATTTGCTTTTTTCTAGTTTTTTAAGGTAGTGGCTGAAATTGTTAATTTGAAACCATTTTCACTGTTGAAAATACAGCTTAATTCAACCCATGTTGAGTACTTCCATAAATGGTATGTGATCCTGGAGAGTTGCTTTGGAAAATGGGCTATCAAATAAATGAGTCCCTAGTCTTTAGAAGGCTAGTTGCAATTTTGAAAGTAAAATTGTTTCCCTTAAATATCAGCAGAAGGCTGTGTTGGTTACATTTGTAGGTTTTTAGAGATAAGTTTATTGTAAACTGTTGCAGTGCTGAAGCTATCCTTGAAGGATGTAGTCTTCAGTTACTCAGAAGCAGTGCCGTACAGTCACAGCTGGAGGGAATCCTGGTGGCCAAACTGAAACACATTCCCCTATTGTATTGATAGTAAAACTGAGGCCCGAAGGCAGTACATGACTAGAAAGACAAAAAAGGAGAATAGATAGTCTCACTAGAAGAGAAGTATTTTGTTGTGTTTTTGGTTGGGTGGGGGAGTGAGAAGCATGGGGCAATGCAGTATGGAATAGATTGGAAGGGTAGATTATGGTTGTGTAGGCCTCAAATTTCAGACAATGATAATAGCATGTACAGAAGCAGGAAGAAAGCCATTCTGAATGAATTAGGAGGCAATTTAATTTTGGTTAATTTTTTGTGCATGTGTGTTTGGGTTTCATGTGTGAACCAGTTCAGAAAAGCCATTAAAACAAACAAACAAAAAACTTGACATAGTGGAGTTCTATAGAAATCGCCAGACCAGGAGAATTTTGGAGTGTGAGGACTCATATTTAGAGTGAATAAGCAAAGACTTGTTAAAACCTAGTTTTATAGGTAAAGAACTTGAAACCAGCAAGAAATCAATGCCTCGTTTATAGATACGTAGTTTGCGGCAGAGCTGGAACTAGAACAAGATTCCAGCTCTCGCTATCTTGCCAGTTCCCAGTGTGGTACCTAGCACTGAATTTCAGCATAACTAAGGCTAACAGTTAATTCTGGGAATAAAGAAATAAGACAGACTCTGATCTTGGGCAGCACATTCTACTGGGCAGGCAATTGGCGGTATTGTTTGTCTAACTCCAAAATATGGTTAAAAGAAGGAAACAGCGAGGCGCCTGAGGGAATGTGTCTGGAAAGGTTCCCCAGAGGAGATACAGCTGAGCTGAGCAGGAAAGGACACTTGGAGATATTCAAGTAGTTGTGGATCTGGAAGGAGTGTGCCAAAGAAAGGATATGGCATGACCTCTGAAAAAGTGAACAAAGGAAGCAGACATCAGCTGTGTACCATGAATGCTGTGTGGCAGCCAGAAGGAGGCTAAAACAGTGGTCAGGAGCTACGGGCATACCTCACTTTATTGTGCTTTGCTTTGTTGTGCTTCACAGATGTTGCGTTTTTTACAAATTGAAGGCAAAACCCTCCACCAGCAAAAAGATTACCACTCACTTATTGCAATGCTCACTTTATTGTGGTGGTCTGGAACCGACCCCGCAATATCTCCGAGGTATGCCTGTATTAGGAATTAAATTAGGTTTGAGGGGCTGGGTAGTATTGATACATATAATATATGAATGGATTTGTGTATTTTACTAATGTATGACATAGTGAATAAGCTATTTCTCTTTCACGAATGTTATTTATGCCTGAACTACTGTGATATCCTCTTTGAGCACCTGATGGCATCCACCAGAGAGAAAGTTAGCACAGCATAGGGAGTGACAAAAAAGCTATGTGGGCCAGGCCCCATGACCACAATTCCTTTTGAAGCAATGGTAAACTGGGGTAGTTGTGTTGAGAACACAGGTACTAGAGGCAAGCCTAGCTGGTTCTCGCCCCAGCATCCTTGCCTCTGCCCCTCAGTAGCTGTATTGTGTGACTTGGGAGGATCACCTACCTCCTCGGGGAACAATTTCCCATCTGTAAAATAGAGATATTGATGCTCATAAGTGATTGGAAATCATATATCCTACACTGGTAGCTTTGTCCATGGGCTAGATATGGGTTTGAATTTCACCTTTTCATTTGAAAAATTGAGTTGAATACTTAAATCACCGATCACTTTAAAATCATTAGATTTTGTTTCATTGTACATTCTTTCCTTATTTTTTGTATAACATTTTGACTTGAGACAGTGGCTAAACTTCACATAGATGTGTATCCTCCTTCACTTTCTTTGCTACTCAGTGTTCGATACTAGTTTTTCTCTTCTTCTTTAAGGTCAAATTAATAATGATTCCTCTCTGGTTGTGGGTATTCTTGAAGCCATTCTGAAAGGCGTTGATTTTCCAAATCTGGTCCTGCCTCAGAATCACCTAGGGAACTTATTTAAAAGTGGGATTTTTCAGGGCCGGCCGAGTGGCTCAGTTGGTTAAGAGCTCTCTCAAGAGCATGAGCTCTAGCAACAGGGTCACCGGTTCGATTTGCAGCCCGAGCTGAGCTGCTGTTGAGCTGCCAATAGATGGCAGGATGGCTCAGGGGAAAAAAAAAAAAAAAGTGGGATTTTTCAATCGCTATCCTCCCTGAAAATGATTTAGTAAAGGTGGATCTCCTGGAAGTACATTGTAAAACTTCCCAGCTGAATTTGATAAGCAGCAGGGTTGAGAATCAAGGTTGATTAGGATGTAAAGTCTCCTAAGCTTTATTATTTATTCCCAGAGAATCTGGCATAAGAATAAGAGAACTTGACTGGATTTAGGACTATATAATAGGGTTGGGGAAGAGTTAACTTGGCCTGAGAGAAGTAGAGTTACTAATATTTTGTAGGCTATTACTGCTACTTTATTGTATCAAATATTTTGAAAACCAGGCAAATGGTCACTTTCTTTTTTTTGTTTGTTTTGTTTTGTTTTATAGATCGTGAGGACCAGTCAATTCTTTGCACGTAAGTAAACATTGATTTTTTCAGACTTGTTTTTGATTCTGTTGGAAAGTAAAGCAATTAATTTTTTGTATGGAGGGAGGGGGTAAAGTAAAGCAGTAATTTTTATGTTTTTGATGTAAACCTTGCAGTTACCATTTTAAGACTAAGATGATATAAATTGCTATTTGATATTACTGTTTGGTTGAACCCAGTCAAACTGGACTTTTCATTCATTTCATAATGAGAATGTGTGAAACTTATATCTTTAGTTTGTATGTCCGAGTGTTGACCTACCGAACGTTTCAGTAATTTATCCATGTTAGCAGTAGACATTATTGATTATTATGTGCCTTGTGTACTGTGTGCTAAGTACTAGAGAGTCAAGATTGAATAAAACAGTATCCACAGAAGGAAATAATGAGATTTGCATGTTAGAAAGACCTCTTTAGCTGTAGTGTGAAAAATGGATTGGAAAAGAGTTAAAATAGGAAGACCAGTGAGGAGGATGTTTAGTTATTAGGTAAGAAAGAGCTGGTAGTGACTTCAGGTAAACTTGTCATGAACCTACACAGAAGTGGATGAATTTAAGTGGTATTCCGTTTAGGAAACAGACTCACCAGGACTTGGTGATCTGCCTAAGATAGAGGAGCTAAGAGAGGATTTCAGGATGCCTCCTGACATGGGAAAGTAGGAAAAACAACAGATTTGGAATGGAAGACAATGAGTTTGGTTGAGAACACATTCATTTTAAGGTGCCTATGGCTCATCTATGTGGAGCTATCCACTAGGCTATTGGGTATGTGTATTTGGAGCTCAGAAGGGAGGGAAGGAGGGAGGGAGGGAGGGAG